GTTCATTTGAGTTTTTGATTGTAATTGATCAGTAGAGAAATAATCATTCCAAAGTCAATATGGCTATAGTTAATGGCAAGGCCAATTGGACCAAGGAAGATATGGAATATTTTTAGAGATGCATTTAGTGAGTAGATGCTAGTGATGTGGATATAGATTGGGTCATATTCAGACGTGTAATAGAATTTTTCATGCAGACAAATATTTATGGAGCACCCACCATGTGTCAGGTACTGTCCTAGGCATTGTGGTCTTGGCTATGAGTGGAACAAGTTCCTGTCCTTTAAGTGGCCATTAAGCTTCACTGTGTGGAGGGAGAAAATTAAAATGCTTGGAATAAGTAATGCAGGTGAAGAGGACTAGGGATGCGGAAGGAGAGGGATTTGCCATTTTGTGCAGGGTGGTCCATGAAGGCTGGTAGTAAAGTGATACATGAGCAGAGACCTGAGTGAAGAGAGGGAGCTGGGTAGGGGGACCGTGTGGCAGAGCAACTGGGAACAAGCATCCCTGACAGCTCCAGAAACAGCCAGGAGGCCACGGAGGCTGGATCATGTCACGGGAAGCAGAGCGGGCAGAGTGGAGGGTGGGGTGGCCACAGGAGGCCATGTCCTAGGACTGGTGGGCCACTGTCAGGACTTGGGAGTTTACTCTGAGCAAGATGGAAGGAAGCTGGAGTGTTGGTGGAGAAATGATAAGAATTTGTATTTGAACTGGTTCTAAAAAGATGTAGAATTTCAAGAGGCCAAGAAGAGGAAAGAGGACATTCTGAGAATGGGGAATGGCAGACTTGGAGGTGAGTAGCCTGTGCTCATGGCATGGGAATGAACTGGATTGGCTGGAGCAGAACGTACTTCCAGTGCAGGCTGGGGGGTAAGGACGGAGAGGTCGGTCTGGGGAGGGTCTTGACCTCCAGGCCATGTGGTTTCTACTTCCCACTGTTCTTATAAGAACACTTAGAGAGAAGTGTTCAGAGCACAGGGGAAGCCTGAGGAAATTTTGTTCCAAGGAAGGAACTAATTAGACCTGTGCATTCAGAATCACAAATCCAGCAGTTATATGTTGGCTGGATTAGAGAAAGGCAAATGTTGGAGAGAGAGAGGTCAGTGAGGGTATTGTTGCAGCAGGTGGATAAGGAGTTCCTATCATGCAACAAATGATCAATCAGTAAGGAAATGCTGGAGTAATGTGGTGCGTCTGTTGCTGTGGAATATTTTGCAACTAGTAAAAAGTAAATAATATATTCACATCTATAGACTTGGAAAGATGCACACAATGTATAGTTCAGTGATAAAAGCAAATTGCGGAGTAACGCATATAAAAGCATCCTATTTGTCCCATCAATAAAGCCTCCCGTGTGTGTGTGTGTGTGTGTGTGTGTGTGTGTGTGTATGTATGTGTGAGTGTGATCTTGGTATCAGTCAGGACCGTTTCAGCTGTCCTTGGAGATCCAGGGGCTTCACACCACAAAGGATTATGGCTACTTTACATCACCACAGGTCCATGTGGGTCAGCTGAGGGACTCTGCCCCTCACTTGAGATCAAGGCTGGGAGAAGCTCTAACCCCATGTTTCCATGATTGCCAGGGAAGGAAGAACACTTGGCAAGTTGTGCATTAGCCTTTAAAGTCCACCCCCCCCCCCAGGAAGGACACATCACTTCTGCTCATGCTTCATTTGTCAAAGCAAGTCGTGTGGCCTCACATAACTTAAAAGAAAATGCTGAAGTGCAATTGTACCATGCTCTCAGAAGGAGGAAAGCTAGAAATACTTGGCAAAGAGTCCTAATGATTACCAGAAACATGGAGAAAGGGGTGGAATGGGCAAAAGTGAGGAAGGATACACACTCTGGTTCCCTTGTTGAGGGAGGGGGAGAAGAAGGAGTGAGAGAAAGTATGGAGGCATATTTCCTAACAGATGGAAAGGTAATGAGCCACCCTAGTGGAAGTGAGGGTGGAGAGGAGCAGACAGACATGCAGTCCACTGGAGTCCTCAAGGAAGAAGACTGTGTTTGAGTGTGGACGTGCAGGAGCATTGTCAGAGGTGACGCTCAAAGGTTTGCACGTGGGTTGTTTGGAGACCAAGCTATCATGGGCAGAAGAGAGTTATCCTGCAAAAGGAACAAGTTTAAGAACATAAAGGAGAAGCCCTAAGTTGGTTTGGAACTTGTGGAGCCTAAGGTTCTCGTAGACCTGTGGGAAGATATGTATGTCTTGCAAAAGGCAAATGTCAGGCTAGAGTTCAGAGAAACACTAGAAACCGCCTTATCCACATAAGTGCTGCCACTCCAGATATTAACTAATCTGGGGTTTCTGTGCAGGGTCTCAGTAACCCGATCAAGGGCTCCTATCTTCAGCCTCTGGGCAGAGATACCTGCAAGGGGAATCTCAGTCACAGAAATGTCCCCATGGAACCCAAGCGACTGCATTTGAGTTTTTGGAGCTTTTTACCCACACATTCTTTAGATGTGCCAAATCCATTTTGGTTTTACATATGGCCCTATTTGAAGTTGCTTTGGAAAACAGGCTCAAAAAAATTAGAGCCCTCTGGGATTAATAAGAGAAGAACGTTCCCCTGTGGGACTTGAAACTGCACTTGACTTTCTTCCTCCCCGTCCAGCCTGCGGAATGCTGCGCAGGCATCACCAGCTGAGCTCCTGAAATGCTGCCACTGAAATCCAAAACTTAATTTAATGTCACTTGCTTAATTGACCTTTAAAATTTTCATTTTTTCATCCAATAATGAATACTTAACAGGAGCAACTTCATTCGGAAAACCGAATGTCTATTCTCCATTTGGTTGCTGTAGATAAGCCTTCTGTGCGCTTCCATTTCAAAGCTCAAAATGTTTGCAGAAGTGTATATTAATTGACATAATTTGAGTTTTAAAGCTGTCCAAAATTAAGCTGTTCAAAAGTTATGATAATTTCAAAGAAATGCTACACTTCCTTGCATTAAAAGAAAACTATGTAGCTATAAAAGGGAGGTTTTCTTTTGTAATTGATTGTCAATTCTGATATCAGAAAATATTCATTTAATACCTGTTGTAGGATATGAGGTTTTACATAAATGCTATGTGTAAAACTAACAATATCTTAATTGAAAATATTTCCTGTAAATTTGCTGGATATTAGGGATTCCAAAGTAAATTTAATTTTCTCAATAAGCTATGATTATGCCACAGTTGTTTTTCTCCTTCTTCAAAGAAATTTTTCCTATAGCTTAATGCTTCTCAATCAGAGGTGATATTACTCCCTGGAAGACATTTGGGGATGTCTGGAGAGATTATCAATTGTCACAGCTTTGAAGGGGGAGGTGCTACTGGCATCTAGTGGGCAGAAGCCAGGGATGCTGTAAACATCCTGCATTGCACACACCAGCGCCTCTCACACGGAGTTGCCCAGCCCGATGTGAATAGTGCCCAGGCTGAGGAGCCCTGCTACACAGAGTCTGTGCAGTCAGTTACTTTTCGATTGTGATGTGCAGTGCAGCTTCCTGTGACTGTGTAGGAGGGGGAAAGAGCCTGGTGTCTGCCCAGGCTTCCCTCTCTAAGTCCCCAGGAGCAGAGCCTTCTCATGTACTCACACCCTGACTCAAAGCAGAACAGCTGGTGTGGTGTCTCCCCATCCTCCTGCTTTGCTGGGATTTAGGGTTCCTTAAAGTCACACAGGTCACGCTGTAGAAGCGGGGCCGGCTCTTTTCTTAGCTCCACTTGGGGTTTTGAGTGGGGCTGTGCGGCAGAGCTCACTGAATGCCACGCTCCCCGTTTCCCTGGCCTCGGTCCTTTTTCCACTTGATTGATCACCTTTTTATCCTTTTCGATTTTCTTCTGTCTCTGCTTCTTTTGTAATGAAGATGGCCTGCTTTATTACCTACTAAACCATTTTCTTTTCCATTCCAAACCTTTCTCTAAGCTGTTTTATATTGATTTTTTTTTATTGAGGTGACAGTCATATAACATAAATTAGCCATTTTAAAGGGAAGAATTCAGTGGCATCTACTACATTCAGTGTTGTGCAGCCACCGTATCTATCTAGTTCCAAAACGCTTTTCATCACTCCAGAAGGAAACTCTATAACTATTAGGCACTTACTTCCCATTCCCCACTGCCCCATGCCCTGGCAACCCTCAATCTGCTTTTGTCTCTATATATTTACTTATTCTGGATATTTCATATAAATGGAATCATACAATATGGGGTCTTTTGCCCTAGCTTCATTCACTTAGCATAATGCTTTTGAGGTTTATCTACATTGTAGTATGTATCAGTACTTCATTCCTTTTTATGGCTGAGAAGTATTCCATTGTATGGATATACCACATGCTGTTTATCCAATCATCCCTTGATGGACATTTGTGTTGTCTCCACCTTTTGGCTATTGAATAGTGCTTTTATGAACCAGTGTGTACATGTGTTTGTTTGAGTACCTGCTTTCAGTTCTTTAGGGTATATACTTAGGAGTAGAATTGCTGGGTCATATGATAATCCTATTTGTAACTTTTTGAGAAACAGCCAAACTGTTTTCACAGCAGCAGAACCATCTCTGAGCTGTTTTGTTTTATTACATGTCCATGCTCTTTGCATCTATCTTCACTAACTCCCACGGACAACACATATCCACTCTCCCTGGGTCTCCTGAAACAGTTTGATAGATAGCTTAAAGAATCCACATGTGTGTTCTAAAGCACAGATACAAAACCCTGAGGATTTAAGACCAGCTTTGCGTCCATACTCATGACGTGCTCAAATTAACCTAATGTCTGCAATGGTTTGGATACCAAAACCGGAAATCCCCAACTTTTGAAAAAAACTTTTTATCCATCACAACAATTGGTCCTTTATTGGAATCCAGTGGGTTTGTTTGAACATGCTGTCTTGCTCTGTCATACTATGTCTTACGCGGGCACGGTTCATGTTGTTTTATGCAGCCTTTATGGGAAGGAGGGAGGAAGCGCTTGGGACTGGGGCTTCTCTGTGACTCTCACTGTTCTTTCCCACCTGCAGGTATCATTCTTCCTCTTCATCATCTTCGTGGTGTACACCATGCTACCCTTCAACATGCGAGATGCCATCATTGCCAGTGTGCTCACCTCCTCCTCCCACACCATCGTGCTGAGCGTCTGCCTGTCTTCGACACCTGGGGCCAAGGAGCACCTGGTCTGGCAGGTGAGTGCATCTCTGCCTCTGCCAGGTGACCTTCAGCATCCTGCTGGGGGTGCCGGAGGTGCCACGCCCCTGCTCAGGGTATGACTGGTGGCTGTACCTGGCAGGTGCTCAACTTCTGCTCTCTGATGTTGACTCTGAGTATTGCTATTGGGTAGCCAGCCACATCCCACCTCTATCAGTGGAACCAATTATCACTTAGCAATTTGCAACAGTGAAAATTGGAAATGGCAATTCCATTTTGCTGACTGCTGAATAGTGGTATGATTTTGATGGTTAAAAGTGGTTCTTATTATATGTTATAATTTAGCGTTCTTATTTTTAGGGTGAAATAACTTAGTTAAATTAATAAATGTCCCCACCTCTCTCTACCTTGATATCTAAAACCCCCTCTTTACAGAGGACAGAGATATCTCTGTTTCTTAATCTTCTGGTAGGTTCATGCACATTACCAAAAAAGTTCTTTAAAATGCTACAACAGCAAATCTAGCTTTACTAATAAATGGCATTTCAAAGAAACCATTTTATTTAATTAGTTACAAGCATTTAAAAAGGGATTCAATTTCCTGTTATGTACGTCCATAAACATGAGGGCCAGTGGTTGCGAGTTATTCCTAACAGTCTCCTTTTTACCTGTAAAAAGTATTGTATTTTGCTCTGTTGGAATCAAGCATGACAAATGCAGCCATGGTGTCAAATGCAGTGGGGCTGAGAGAAGTGTTATGAGCAGCATTGTTGTTGGAAGGGGATTTTAGACGTGGGTCACAGGAGCCCTGCGGGGTCTGAGAAACCAGTTTGTCATTCACTTGATGGAGTGTTTTATTTGGAAACTTGAGATGGAGCTGGAGACTTACCCTTGCTTCTGTAGTAATCTCTCTGGTTGGAAAGCTTTCTAGGGCCCCCTTTTCTCAATCTTGATCTAGTAATACTTGCTCATTAAGAGTCGCCTGAAGGACTCGTGTTTGTGGAACATCCTTTGTCAGCACTAAGTGAGTGTGGAGCCGTGGCACCTGATTTTGCACAGTGGGCTGCAGTCTCACACTGACTGGTTCAGCTATTACTAAGCAGCGTCCACTCCCAGGAAGCAGAGGAAGGCTCTGTTCTTCCGTGCATTCCCTGTGACTGAACAGAGTAGACACGTCCCAGTAACCTGCACCCCCGAGACCCAGATGGAGGCCGGTCAATAACCAATCAAGTGAAAGCATGAAGGTGGGTGTTTTATTAAAAGAAGAGACAATCCGGCTGTGCTTGGGAAGAGGTGGCAGAAATGTTCCTTTTTACACAAACTCTGCCTCAGCTTGTGCTTCCTTTTACTGCAGTTCAGAGCTTCCCCTGAGGATATTTATGGGACATTTCTCCTTTCTCCATAAGTTCCACTCTTCCCCCCTCCCTTTAGTGGGGCCGTTAAGCTCAACCTGAGGTGGTCACAGGCAAATCAGGGCGGTAGGTGTGCTTTTGCAGTAGGAACGAGTCCACAGTCTCCTCTTCCAGCTCACATTATGGAAAGCACTGCAGGAAAGCCCTCATCACACAGGCAGTGGGGCACTCACATGTAGTTCACGGCTCCCAGCACCTGCCTGGGTGTGGGGTAGCCTGGAACACATCCCTTGAACATTGTGTACCTATCTCTTCTGCCCCTTCGTGAATAAATAAAGTGTCCACTGGGCCAGACGTCATAGAAAAAATACCTGGGAAATGAGGATTATAATACCTGTGTCTGAGGATCAAATGGGGTTAAAAAAAAAGGAAAAAATAAGTGCTTTGCGAGGAAGCTGGCATATTCTAGGTCGTTAAGTACTGTATTCAGTTTTGGTTTTTTTAAAGCACTTTTATTTTCTTGCATTGGTAAAGAAAAAATAGGGAAAGAATACAATCTTAAATTTTTATTTACTTAATTTCCAAAACTAACAAAGAAAAATACTTCTTATCAGTGGAAAGCCAGAGATAGGATAATTCTGGAATAGCAAAAAGGATAAAAATCTTCATTCCATAGTATTTCATATAAGAATAACATTGAAAGGAGCAGAAAAACATTAGGTCAGTTTTCCATCCCTTCAGAAATAATTTCACAATGTTGTGAAGAGCTGGGAAAGGCAAAATATGCCAACAGATTTTAAACGGAAGGTTTATAGGTAAACATCACAGTAATGAAGAAGAGAGCTGAAAATATAACCTAAAAATAACAGGGCTTTGCGACGTGAGAAAAACACTTTATTGAATTCTCTTTTTGTGAAGAGTTTATATAAGTCAGAATGCTACAGATTGGGTGGCTGTGTTGCTGTGGTGTAAGTATTTAAAGCAAAACTATTTGAAGTAAGGGATATTGGTCTAATATAAAGAAAGAGGTTGCCCATCGGTGATGATCAATTCACCCTGCCTTCTAAACCATCAAAGAAAGAGTACGTTTTATTTAGCATGGATCCACATTAAGAATTTTTTGTGTCATTTTATTTTTTGAACACTGGCAATCCATTAGATAGCGTATAGTTCTTGTCTGTTAACCAAAATACTGACTTAATAGGAATAAAATACTCTTCCTTTCTGTGCTGAGTAACAGAGTTCATTGTTCTCAGGAAATTCATTTTCCCAGCATTTGTCTTGAAGTAGAATTCATTCTCAGGCTATGATATACCATCTAATTGAGGAAATTTAATTAACAACTGAAAATTATGGATAATATTTCCTAACATATTTAAACATAAAGTAGAATCCCTAATACATTTTTTTACTTTTAGTTTGAAACAGCTACAGACCTAGCAATAAGTAGCAAATCCAGTACAGAAAAATTTTTTCCCTAAGCCATTTAAAGATAGGTTGCCAATCTGATGTCCCTTCGCCCCCAAATGCCTTAGTGTGTGTTTCCTACAATACCATTCTCCTCCACAACCATCAAAATCAGAAAATTCTCATTGTTCTATTACTGCCATTTGGGTTCCTCCAGCTTTCCCAATAATGTCTTTTATGGCAAAAGGGCCTAGATCGGCATCACACATTGCAGTGTGTTCTCAAGTCTCTTTAGTCTCTTTCATTCTGGGGCGATTCCTTAGTCTTTCTTTAGCTTTCACAATCTTAAAACTTTCAAAGATTGCAGGCCAATTATTTTGTAAAATGTCCTTCAGTGTGAGGTGTCTGATGTTTCCTTGTAAATAGATTCAGGTGATGCATCTTTGGCAGGAATCACAGACGTGACGGTGTGTGCACATCACATTTTATCAGGGTCTCATTGCTTATGGTGATCATTACTATTATGGCGCTGGGCACCAGGCTTTTCCTCTTTGAAATTACTATTTTCCTCTTTTTAATTAATACATATTTTGTGGAGGGGTACTGTGAAACTAGGCAAATATCATGTTTCTCATCAATCTTTCAATTTATTTATTTATTTATATCTACAAGGTCTTGTGTTTTCCTATTCTCTTCAATAGGTTATAAACCATTGCCATCACTGTTTATTTTGATGTCCATATGGTCTCAGGTGTGTCCAGTGGGTGCCCCTTCAAGCTGGCTTCTGTACCTTTTGATGTATCCCCACCATTCTTTGAACACTTCCTTGCTTTCTGGCACAACGAGATGTTTCAGGCTCATCATGTGCTTTCCCTGCCCTAAAATCAGCCACCCTTCCAAGGAGCCCTGGTTCTTTTTAATGAAGAATGGCACTTAGGGTCAAGGTCTGGGCTTTGGGTCTTTCCACTGCCATTGGGGTGTTAGTACTCCAGGACAAGGGCCACACACACTTATGTGTGCTTTATTTTTATGTATACTTACATATTAAACACCATGACTTCACACTGGTGAAGGTGAATGGTATTTCCATTTCCAACCCACCATAGGTTTCATAACAGTTTTATCCCTTTCATTGTGGCTCCGTTGACCAATAGTGAAAAAAATTTAGCTCCCATGATCCTTAATATATTTATTTATTTGATGAATCCCTGTATGTAAACAATCTCCTATCTCACTTCCCACTCCCTCTACCTGCACAGGTGCCTTCTCACTTGGCCCAGCTTCCTTTCCTCCGAAGCACGTCCCCTTACCCCCAGCTCAGGCTGTGACACCTCATCCCTGTGAGGGTGTCCCCTGCCCCAGCTCAGGCTCTGAAGCCCCATCCCTGTGAGGGTGTCCCCTCCCCTGGCTCAGGCTCTGACAATCCATCCCTGTGAGGGTGTTCCAACCCCAGCTCAGGCTCTGACACCCCATCCCTGGGAGGGTGTCCCCTCCTCTGGCTCAGGCTCTGACACTCCGTCCTTGTGAGGGTTTCCCCTCCCCCGGCTCAGGCTCTGACATCCCATCTCTGTGAAGGTGTCCCCCCAAGCTCAGGCTCTGACAGTCCATCCCTGTGAGGGTGTCTCCTCCCCTGGATCAGGCTCTGACACCCCATCTCTGTGAGGGTGTCCCCACCCCCAGGTCAGGCTCTGACACCCCATCCATGTGAGAGTGTCCACTCCTCCAGCTCAGGCTCTGACACCCCATCCTTGTGAGGGTGCCCTGCCCCCAGATAAGGCTCTGACACCCCATCCATGTGAGGGTGTCCCCTCCCCCAGCTCAGGCTCTGTCCCCTATACTTGACTTTCCCCACTGTAGACAATCCTTGCATGCAGCCCATCTGTGTCACCCTGTACAAATTTGGCTTTCCCCATCCCCTGTGGGTACAGATGCTTCCTTACTCTGCCTCGCCTGATGGCTGAGCAATGAGTTATTCAGGAAGGAAGGGAAAGGACAAGAAAGACAGAGGATGAGGATGCAACGAGGAAGAGGCGAGAAGGAACATGTTTTGAGCAGAGTTTATTTGTGTGAGAGAAAGACACTCTTTCCAGCTACGCTCTGTGATTCCCTTTGTACTGGTCTTGGCAACTTTTCTTCTAATTCTTTTCCATCTTTTTGTTTTCCTAACTGGGTTTCAAAGAAAATGTTTTCTGCAATCTGGGATTATTAAGGGAATCTGGAATCCCTTAGTAATGACGGGAAGAAAATATGTAAATATCAGGAAACTTTTAAAAGAGCAG